CCAGCCCTTGTTCTGTGGGAGAGAGCCAGGACAGTCTGTTTCCATAAGGATCAGTTTCAGTAGCCTGCAGGCAGTTCTCCTGTGTCCTTTAGGTCACTCTGAGTTGGAATATGCTCGATGGCAGTGGGTTTGTTGGTAGTTTGTTTTGTTTTGTTTTAGGCTCTAGCCACCTGCTACCAAATGGTAGACCAGTATGGACAGACCTTCAGTGTATCAAGAGACATCAGAAAGCTAGATTTTCACTCAAAATCTTCCAATTTTTAAATGTTAATCACTAAGAGTATTTAACACAGTCAGCAGACACACTGCCACTCTGGGGGCATACAGGGTGATGGCTTAGAGGCTGGCTTCACAGTCAGACTTCCCTGGGCCAATGACTGGAAGGCCCCAGTGACCCAGCCCTTCAGCCTCCCCTGGCCCAGAGGAGCTGCTCTCCCCTCCTTCCTGTTACACTCCTCTTCTGTCCTCTCTGACCCTTCCCCACTGGATCACTGCAGTTGGATCCCGGAAGCACACCCTCTACTTGCTCTCTCTTAGGGACACTTCTTCTAAGAAAAGAGAATGTCTAGAAGCTAAGGAGCAAGTGTGTGCCTGTCCGTCTGTGGCTCCGTTAAAAAGTGTGTGTAATTTTATGTATACAATGAAACAGATGATGATTAAAACAAATAAAAGGCTAACTATAAGAACCTCATTAATTACTGCTGATCGTAAATTCTAATTAGTGCTTCCAATGGTGTGGCTGAAACTGTGCACCTTGGGGTTGGTCAGAACCACCAATGCTGCGTTCCTCCATGGAGGCGTCTCTGCCCCACCCAGCACCCAGCACCCAGCAGGCACAGGTGGGTGAGGACCACAGCTCCTGCAGAGTGTTGCTGCACAGCCAGGTTTGTGAACGATTAGTGTCTGCTACCCCAGCACCCTGGGTTTGAATCTCCCCACCAGCAGTTTATAGCTCTGTGAATTTGAAAATGTTATCTGCTGTCTCGAAACCAGTTACATGTCTGCTGCAACATGAACAACAGCACCACTCTGCCCTCAACATTTTTTCATTTATACAAATCTCTCTTTAAATGGCAGCTGTGATTCAAAAAGCTCCTGGAAAAATTTCATTACCTGTCTATGCCATTTTCCACAAGCTTTCCAAAGCCCTCTCATATTTCCTAGTTTTGACAGAAGGAGACTGGTGGCACAGTGAGTTAAGTGCTGTGCTGCTAACTGCAAGGCCAGTGGCCAGCAGTTCAAACCCACCATGACGAGACAGTCTGCTTCTGTAATGATCTACGGCCTCAGAAGCCCGAAGGAGCAGATGGACTCTGTTTCAGAGTTGTGTGTGTTCCCGTATGTTCTGTCCACTGATAGAAAGGGCAGATTCTTCAGGGTATCTTGTATTTATCACAAGTAAGCACAATTCCATTAGAATCCAACAACTGCATTGGCCGATAAACTTAACAATCACTTCAGAGTCACTTCGAATACAACAGGGAAGGCAGCTCCAGACCTGCCCAGAAGTTGACATCACGTGCACTTGTTGACACATTATGTTAAAATACAGAGTTTCATTTTATCTTTCCTCTTTTGAAAATGCATAAATTTCATAAAGGCACACAACAGAGAGGAACATCAATAATCACATCACAACTTTTGACTCAAGGTTTTCTGGGCATTTGAAGCAAATGGACAAAGCCGGGAGAAGAACGACCCTGAGGCAGAGTTTAGGCCAGTCAGGGCACCGAGAGAGTCCAGGACGGAACGTGAATCTCACTGCATTCTGCATGGTCACGAGGGCCTCCTGAAGAGGCAGGGGGACATGTGGGCACGAAGAAATCAAGAAAACGGCTTTGGTGTATGCAGCAAGGTGGATGAGAAAAAGAACATACTTCAACTCTGCACTCTGGTTGAAAGCAACTTTGCAACTATAACAAAACTGAATGCTAACTATAAAACATAAACAACTACAGTAAAAACTGATAACCCAGCAGGAAATGGGCAAGCCAATAAAATCCAAAGGAGGAATTTAAAAAAAAAATAAATCAGAACTTCAAAAGTAAAATTTACATTTAACTTCTAAAGCATTTTTTCATTTATACAAATCTCTCTTTAAACCTCACAACAGCAGCCCTTTGACGCAGGCAGGGAGGTGTTTTATACTGACTTCACAGACGAGAAAACTCAAGTTCGGAAGGATTATGTCATTCACCCAAGGTGATGTGGTTAGAAAGAGGGCCGGCAAGGACTGGAGCACAGTATTCCCTGGAATGTTTGTATAAAGGCTACAACATTACAAACCCAGGGAGAGAGTGTAGATACATTCATAAACACAGACACCTCCCTTCTAGAAATTAGGCTCATGAAAATGAGAATAGAAATACAATCTCACTTTTCTGGTCAATTAATGGTCACTTCTGAGCCTCACCTTCTCAGCTTGGCCTTTCTTCAACATAGAAGTATTCCAACCTTAGTTATCTGCAGCTCTTGCATCATTTGACAAACGTGTAACCTTCTACAAACCAGAATGTCAAACAGGAGCTTCCAGTTCATCTTTGTTTTCTTGAACACTAACAGACATTCTAACAGTCTCTAGTCCTTGTATGTCATAAGCTCGGAATCTGGTGTGTTTCTTTTTCTACAAGGACAATTTCTTTGGTTAATCGCAACAGATTTAAACCCAACAGAACACAACTTTCAATGGTGCTTAAACTCTGGGTAGCCTGCTGTACTCTTTTGCTCAGCTCTGTGAGTTTTATTATTGAAGTCTGCACTCGGCTCTGACGCATCTCTAACCAGCAGCAGTATGGTTAGCTGGAGGGGGAAGAAGACGGAGAAGTCTTGTCCTCCCTCAGCCCTCATGGCTCAGTCTTGGCCCACAAGGACCCTGATTTACAGAGGAATCAGACTGCAGGGTTCTTGAATCCCATCATTTCACAAAGAGGACCTCCAAATACAAATGAAGCATCAGCTCCATTTTGCCCACACGTGTCCCTGATGAAACAGAACCAGTCCAACCAAAGCCTCTGACCAGAAGTCAGCTACTCACTGTCTACAATCCATGATCCATGATAAACCCCTTATTATGTGTCTGTAGGTTTGAAACCTGCAGTACAATAAAACAGCTACCTGTAAATTAGCTATTCATGGACTAAAGGGAAAAAGACCACATGCTCTAATAAAAAGGTGTACATAAACATTCAGAGTTATTCTTCAATAGGAGAGACATATATAAACTCAGATAAACATAACAAGAATAGCATCCAAAGTAAAGAACCTCCCCACCCCCCCCCAACCTCCACCCCCACTCCCCCTGGATGTGACAGCTACAAAGTAGCAACATGCTCAGAAAACAACTGGTGGGTTACTGTGGGGGTGTGCCCTCTCGGCAGCTAAGGACTCAGGATGGAGGCATCACAGTAACCAGTCACCTCAGCAGCTCAGCTCCCCACCAATGGGAAACACACACTTAAACACCTTGTCTTCTGTCACTTCTCATTCCAAAGCAGCCAGCTTGTGTAGTAGACGGGAGGTGAGCTCCTGAGCCGTCTGTACACTCAAATACACATGCATGGACCATATAAGGCTGAGCTCTAGTGAAGGAGTTCATGTCATTTCCAGTCACCGGCTCTGTACACGCCCACCGACTTTCTCCAGTGGGTCTGGCAAGACGCTGATGGAGTATATGATTCAGCTGGGAGTGGCTGCTAATGGCTCATTGTGAACGCTTAATTTTGCCACCAGACTGCTGGGTATAAAATGAGCCATCTCAGCATCAGAAGGGTGGGGGGCTCTAAAACCATCAAAGAAGAGTCAGGAGTGGTGCGTATCCTTCGGACCCCAAGATCCCTGCTTACTGAACCCCGTCGAAACAGGGACACACCGGAGGTGGGGCAGAGGAGAGCAGAACCAAGAGCCAGAGCAGCACACAGAGCACTGGGCTTCCCAGCCCACGGAGCAAGGACAGCTGACTGACTGCAGCCAGGAGACTTGCTTACAGAATGGGGTGCCTCCAGGCACTGAATTAGCAGGGAGTTAGGTTTGCTGACCTATGGAGTTAGAGCCCAGTGCCTTCTGGCTGAGGCTGGTAGGGGGAATGGTGGGCCTGAGGGCCTGCACAGAGAAAGGCCCGGCTGTGGGCACAGCTGAGGGGAGGCTGTCCTGGCTGGAACCATTGTGCCCGCACATTTTCTGACCCTGCTGACTTCCCTAGTAAATCCCAGAACTGTGAACATGGGTTCTGAGCTCCAGGTGGTCACTGCAATGAATTAGGGAACCCAGCTGAGCACCGAGAACTGCATGGAATGGTTGGAGGCATCATTTTTTTTTGCAAAGGGCCTTTAAAAGTTTGTGGAAAAAAAGGAATGAAAGATAATATAATTTTTCCACAAACTTTCTGAAGTCCCCTCAAACGTATGTACTAAACTTAGAATCACAAACCAGCAAGTATAGAAAGGGACTCAAATATCTGGGTGCAAACTTATGACAGGAAATTACTTGCATATTTTCACCCTCTCCATAGTGATATCCCAATTCCCCCTCCTCAACATGACCACCCTGAACCACAGGAAGAGCTGAAATCTCAAGCTATCAAAACCACTTCCTCACAAAAATCTTCACATAGCAAAACATACACTGGGTCACACTGAAGCCTTCCCTTTAGGCTAACCACTTTACCCTTGCCTCCCTTTGATCACCCTGACTGGTCTCTATAGTTAATACCTCGTTAAAATACACTGACCAGAACTGGGCACACTCTTATAAAAGAGAACGAGCGAGAATGGTGTCCATGGCCTTGGATGCCACGTTCCCTGGAACATCACGCCCCACGTTTCATACCCGTTTGTAGCTGCATGTTGCCATTCACCACAGCACTTTCCAGAAATAACTAAGTCAGCAAGCTACACAGAACAGATGTGCCGGAGGTGACAGTGGCTCATAATCAGCAAGTACAGCTGTGACTAACGGCAGACAGTGAGCGACCTGCACTGCACGGATGCCCACCAGAAACCTACCTCCACAGGGTGGTCGCTCTTGACCAACGCTACACGTGCCCTTTGCAAGGAACCATCCATGAGTTTGTGAAGTCTGAGAATGAGCTTCCGTAAGCCCATCTGCTTCAGGGCTTTGTCCACAAATGGTCTATAGATGGAAGTCCGACAGTGTCTGCTGGAGCCCACCTCTCTGCTGCAATCGGGGGCTCCCCAGCCAGCGGGCTCCTCCCCAGACTCGCACCGGGCAAGCTTCCTGGACACGCAGTCCGGGGCCTGGCTGTCAACACTGGGCTCGGGGGGCTGTCTGATTTCCCGCCCGCTTTGACCCGAAAGGTGCTCGCCTGCACTCTCCTCCCCGCTGCTGTCCAGCTCGTCCAGCTCTCCTTCCGAGTCCTCTCCCTCGTCTTCAGCTGCGTGGCCTTTGGATGGGCGAGGAGAAGGGATTTCAAACACGGGCCAGCCAATGTCTGAGAGATTCTTGATGCCCAAAACAGTGCCCATAATGCGTAATTTCTGATTTAAGTCTTTGGTGATGTTCAACCAGAGGCAGAGCGCCTGCACCCTATCCTGGAAGTCCTTGGCAGCGTATTTCTCATAGTCCTTCTGGAGAGCCTGGAGGGATGGGTAAAGTGCCTCTATGTACTCCAGCAGCTCCATTATCCGTTTGACCTGCTCAAAGGAGACCCTCTGGCGCTGGAGATGTTCATGGTAAGTTGAGCAGCCCCCAGTCTTTGCTCCCCGGGGGGCGCTACACTTCCCCTCTGCCGTAGGGCCATTCAGAGCAGCTCCGTTTCGCACCACGGCAAAGCGCCCATAGTTCACTTTGAAAGTGAGGATCTCGGTGATGATGTCAGGGATAGCCTGGCGGGCTGTGTATAGAAAGAGGTCCTGGTCGTTGATGGTCCGCCCAGCATGCCACGCCTGCAGCTCCAGCCAGATGAGCTCGTTGGAACGGTTGAACCAGAAAGCAGAGGTGTTTTCTTGTCCCCTCTGCTCCCTGTCCTTCTTCTTTGAGACGGAGGTAAGCTTTAGCAGAAGTCGTAATGTTTCAAAAAACTTTAAGCGGTCTGCGGGGCAGTCGGTCCTAGATGTCTGGCGGGCAGTTCTGGCTATGGGCACGGGTACAGACACGGGCAGCTGGGCATTGCTGCAGCCGAGGCTGAGGTAAGGCTTATGCAGATCCACGTCAGGAATGGGTTTTTTGGGCAGAGACCCACCCACGGAGTCCAACATGAACGAGCATTGCACATTTTTCTTATGGTCGCGCTCAGTTGTACGAAGAGCTGCTCGGATCTTCTTCTCTTGCTTGTAACTGTACTCGTCCACAGTCTCCACGGCTTTGCCAGCATCTTTCTGTGGAGGCTGACTGGCTGCATTCATTTTTTCTATTAGAAAAATAAACAAAAGATTAGATTCCTCTAACACATGAAGTTATTCCAGACAGGCTTAATACAATGGGTATTTGTAATGTACTTACAGTAACTTCAAGCTGTTGCTGAGGGAAAATAATACAAAATTAACGAATCAACATATATATATGACATTTCCCTTTAAAACTGCTACATGATTTTATCCATTATCTCTGCCATCTTCTCTTCTACTCCCCACTATTAGCCTAAAACTAGCGGTTTCCTCTATTCTACACATTGTTGTGAGAGTGCTGTGGAGTCAGTGCCGACTCACCGACTCTGTATAGGGTTTTCGAGCAGTGGCTAGTGAGCCTGAACTGGAGACCTTGCGGTTCAGAGCACTAGCCTACAGCGCCAAAGCAGGACTCACAGTTACCCACGAATCACCTACAATTCAGGACGGGAGAACACACAGGATGCTGGTACTTCCACGAAGCACTGGTGGTACAACAGTAAAGAGCAAAAACAAGCGAGTCCAGAAATGAGCGCCACATCTTGGGTCAAGAGGTGCTAGCAAGACCACTCCATGGGGAAAGAAGGGTCTCTGTAGTGATGTTGGGAACACTGGGTACCACATGCTGAAAAGCGAGAAACCATACACAAAAACAAATTCAAAATGGACTAAGGATCTCAATGTGCAAACTGAAACCATAAAATCACTAGGAGACAATGCAGAGATATTGCTATTAACTGGTCAATGTTAATAATGGATTATCTGTGGAACAACAAAAGCACACACAGCAAGAGGTGAACTTAATCAATGGGACCTTGCAAAAAGTAAAGCCTTTAATTCACCAGAGACTTTACCAAAGGCCATACAGACAATACTGACAGGGAGAACATTTTTGAAAACCATATATCCTATAACAATCTAATAACCAAAAAGGACATAAAAGCCAATCATAAAATGGGCAAACGACTTCGATAGACATTTCGTCAAAGAAGATATTCAAGTGGCCACGGAATACATGCAAAGATCAGTCCGATACCATTAGCCGCCAGCGATGCTAACTGAAACCACAATGACATACCATTTCATCTCCTCTAGGATGTCTTGGGCAGTCAGAAGTGCACTCAGCTCCTTAGAAGCAAGGATGGCCAGACTTCGTCTCTCAAATTGGGAACACGTCTATCACTTCACTGTCTGTCCACGTGTTTCCTGTGAGAGATGGACTCTTACACCATTCATACTGCACTGTTGTCCACCTGTCTGTCTGTGTGCTTCCGGTAAGAGATGGGACTAAATCTTATTCACTGTCTACAACGATGCCTGGTCTGTAAAGTCACTCAAAGTCAGGTTCAATTGAAAGAATGAAACAGAAATGGAGTGAGAAGGAGGAGAGGAGAGGGGGCAGACAAGAAGAAGGAGGAGACAAATGACAGAAGCAAAAAGGAGAGACTTCACTGCAGTCAATAGTGGCAGCACATGCAGCGAGGACAAAGAAAAGGAGCTGGGACAAGCTCCCAAGAAACCCGTGCTCCTCGTAGGACAGAGCCAAGCTGAAGGTCCAGCTCAGAACTCAGGAGCCTCATGCCTCCAAACAACTGTTCATTCTAAGACTCAGTGTCCTGACCAACAAAGTGGTAACTACTGGGAAAGAAAGCTAGTCATTAACTATCAGGATGACTGCTTACACTTACTGAACACGTGACACTCAAAACAGCACTCTGAGGCAAAGCTTTACAGATTCAAAACACAGTGAGGCCCAGCGATGACAGTCACAGACAGTAGTAGAGCCGGGAGTAGAGGCCAGGTCATCCTGACTGCCATGCCGCACTCGTGAATGGACACAAGCTCCACAACCATCACCCCTTCAGAGAGCAAAACAGTCACGGCCATGTGCCCACATGCTGCTTCACTGACACCTCCTCTGGTATCCACGACCAAGAATTTTGGCAAGACACAAAACAGCAGATTTCAGACATGCTAACCACACGGCATGACTGGGACATTTAAAACCAAAAATCACGAGAAACTCTGAGCTCAGCTTCCTCAGTGGAACCGACATAAAGGCACCTAACAACCACAACGTGTAAGACCAACATTCTTGATTATCATGAGATTTCAAAGCTGATATTTTGAGGTACAAAACCGTTCTTGAACTCCTGGTGTGACGCTGTAGGATCAGCACTGGACTTCAAACAAGGTTAGGAGTTCAAATCCACCAGCTGCTCCTCAGAAGCTATACAAGGTCACTAAGAGTCGGGACTCGAAGGCACAGTCTTGCAGTCCTGGTGTATTGTTTAAAGATAAGCACTGGACTGCTAACCGCAAAGTCAGCAGTTCAAACCCACAAGTCACTCCTCAGAGACTCTACCCAAGGTGACAATGAGTTGGAACTCTGGGACTGAGTGGACAGCATTCACAACAAGGACAGTTCTCGGCACATGGACGCCCTCACTGATGCAACAGGGCACAGATGACCCTGCACTACCTGGATGAAATCAGCTTTTCACCTGAAGAGCAGCAGATCCATCTCTCAGCTCCATTCCAGCTCTACAATTCTAGAATTCTATGGAACACACCTTGTTCTCTGTAGTAGAGACGCTAAAGCAAATGGAAGGAGTGAGGCGGTAACAGAGCTGAACACAAGATCTCACAGTGCAGTTTCAGAAGATAAAGTCAGATATTATAAGAAATGGGCAAAGTTGGAATTAGAAAACCAAAAGAGAAGAACACGCTTAGCAATTCTCAAGCTGAAAGACAGAGGAAAAATTCAAGTCTTGACTTGAAATACTGAAGTATTCTAGGGGCAAACTATTGAATGATGCAGAAAGCAACAAAATGGATGGAAAGAATACGGAGCCACTGGATCAAAAACAAATGGCTGATATGCAACCGTTTCACAATGCGCTGAAAAAGCGTATGCACACAAAAACTCTGGGAATAACTAGAATGCAAACTGAAACGTTTCAACAAACTGATGCAGCACTGGAGGAACTCACTCATCTATGCCAAGAAATCTACAAGACAACTACCTGGCTAAGTGATTGGAAAAGACCCATTCCAGAGAGGTGACTCAATGGAATGCAGAAATCATCGGAAAATATCATTAATATCACTTGAAAGTAAGAACTTTGCTAAAGGTAATTCAAATGCGGGTGCAACAGCACATCACAGGGAACTCTCAGAGGTTCTTAACCAAATTCAGACAAGGACATGGAATGAGGGATATCACTGCTGACATGAGATGGATCTTGACTGACAGCAGGAAATACCAGAAAGATGTTTACTTGTGTTTTATTGACTATAAAAAGACTTTTTGACTGTGTGGATCATAACAAGCTATGGACAACATTGTGAAGAATGAGTATTCTGCAACATTTAATTGTGCTCATGTGGAGCCTGTACATAGACCAAGAGGTAGTTGTTAGAACAGAACAAGGGAACACCAAATAGTATAAAATTGAGAAAGGTGTATGCCATAGTTGTATTCTTGCACCACACTTATTCTATCTGTATGCTGTGCAAATAATGCAAGAAGCTGGACTATATGAAGAAAAACGTGGCATCAGGATTAGAGAAAGACTCGTTAACAACCTGCGCTATGCAGATGCTGCAACCTTGCTTGCTGAAAGCAAAGAGGACTTCAGATACTTACTGATGAAGATCAAAGACCACAGCCTTCAGTATGAGTTGCAACTCAATGTAAAGAAAACATAAGTCCTCACCACTGAACTACTAAATAACATCATGATACATGGAGAAAAGATTGAAGTTGTCAAAGACTTCATATTGTTCAGATCAACCATCAACACTCATGGAGGCAGCCATCAAGAAATCAAAGGATATATTACATTCAGCAAATGTAACAGAATAGTATTACATAGTATCACATTCGGCAAATGTAAAAAAAAAAAAAAATGATCTTCGACATCACAAGCAAAGATGTCAGTCTGAGGACTAAGGTGTGCCTGACCTAAGTCATGCTATTTTCCCTAGCGTCATATGCATGTGAAAGCTGGACACAAATAGGAAAGACCACAGAGGAATTGATGCATTTGAGTTAAGGTGTTGGAGGAGAGTATTAAGAGTACCATGGACTTCCAGAAGAACAAACAATTCTGTGTTGGAAGAAGTACAGCTAGAATGCTCCTTAGAAGCCAAGATAGCCAGACTTTGTCTCTCATACTTCAGAAATATTATCAGGAGGGACGAGTCCCAGGAGAAGGCTATCATGCCTGGTAAAGTGGAGGGTAAAGAGGAAGACCCCCAATGAGATGGATTGACACCGTGGCAGCATCAGTGGACTCAAGCGTAGCAGTAATTGTAAGGATGGCCCATGACAGGGCAGTGTTTTGTTCTAGTGTGTATAGGGTCGATATACAGCACCTAAAAACAAACAACGAAATAAACACTGAATAGGAAAGAGACCAGCTCCCTGCTCCTCCACCTTGCACAGAGCCCATCACAGAGAGAGCTGACGACTGGCAGGCTGACTGAATGAAGAGTGAACCATGGACCACCGTGAGCACTGTACTCTATCACACTCAGCTGACCCTCTAGTCCTTGTGGGAAAAACAGACCACCAGGAAAGCCAGATCCAAAAACAATCCTGCAACCATTCAGTATCGGGCCTTACAGAAGCTGTTTTAAAATCCTGGGTCTCAAGCTTCTTAATTATAAAATGGGGGCACTGTGTCCTTAATTCCTCTCCTAAAATATTACAGAGCAGCAAGTGAAGGCCAAGGGGCTGTAGCTCGGGCAATTCCTCACCTTACCACCAGAGAGCAAACTTCTGTTCAGCATCTAATACAGATCCAGTAGCTAGCTGTTGCTGCCTCTGAGATGTTTCTTAGAGAAAACTGCTAAAAACTGCTTGTAAAGACAACAAATTGCAAGGGGAAGATATTAAGTTTCCAAATGGTAAATCCAGGCAGCAAGTTCATATTCAGAGGAAAGGAATGCCCTCCACCTCTGAGAAATCCGTCTTGGGGTGAGATTTCTAGTTCACTCAAGCAGATACCTATAATAGAACCTGTTTCTCTTCCCGCCTTCATTCCAAGGAACTGATGACAGACACACAGAGTGAATATGCCAACTAACACCCATGAGACAGAGAGGTGGTGACGAAATATGTGGGAAGAGGGACCTGTCCAACGAAGGAAGATGCTGGAGGATTTGCTGTAGGGCGGGCACTCGGCTAAAAGCAACAGGGTAATGGTTCAAGACCTGAAGGCTTTGGTGAGCTGCGCCTCCACCCCATGCCATGGAGTAAAGGAGGCAGCAGAAAGGGTGGCTGTGCCCTACAAGGAGGAAGCAGACAATGAAAACAGAGCTCCAGGCAGCCTCTCAGGACACAGCCCTCCCTGGATTCTGAGATTGCCCAGCAGGAAGAAAGGAAACAGGGCCTTCTGCCCGTGCTCGAAGGTGTGGGGCTTGTCTGGTCATAGTGAGGAATGAGTAAATGGCCCAGGACACAGGACGACTTGCTGGTGACTAATGGGAAGTGCAGGTAGCAGGCTGGCTAGGGAATACTGAGGACGGAAGCCGGTGTCTCTCTCTCAGAATGCCCAGCTCCTCTCTTCTGGGTAGACAGACTCCAGAAATGTCAGCCTAACAGAGTAAGAGAACAAAACCAGGCGACCACTCTTGGGTCAACCAGAGCCATGCAAATCCCGCAGGTAACTGACTTCAGTAATTCTGCAGGGCAGCGCTTGCCGTATTTGAAGAATTTTGCTACCCTTTATTAACAATACGAGGGGCTTCAAAACGTTTGTGGAACTACAAGGAACCAGAGAGAGCCATGCCCTCTCGTGTGCCGTCTTTTCAAGCAGGAGGCTTACCTTTCAAACTGGACCGGCTGGCTGGCCTCCCGACAGTATTCCTCTGGTGTTTGGCTGACAGCCGTTTCATCTGTCGCGGTGTGCTGGGGGGCGAGGTACTATACAGATTCTCTGTGTTTGTTTCATCTGAAAAATCTTCCAGGTCCGATTCTGAAGTCTTGCAAGCTGTATCTCCCAACTGGCACTCCTCCCTGTGAAAGACAGTGGGTAGTGAAACATTTAGTAACACGTCAAGGGAATTCAGACTCAGTGACTTGTGACTTGTGCTGCCTTTCTACGGCTACGCCGCCTGGTCCTCGCTAGCAGACTCTTGCTCCTGGACGTTTACGCTTGTGGAATCGCAGACAACCTTCTGCTTATGAGAGGTGGGGCGCGGGTGGGGTGGCTGCCGCTGACACACCACTCACAAGTGCTTCAAACGTAGAAGTGATGGGAGATTTGGTTTAGAACGGTTTGTAACATAAATAAAAATGAAAACTTCTGGATGAAGGCGGAAAAATAGAGGAAAGGATTAGATAATACAAATCAGACGGTTGAAAATGTACTTGTCAGCTAGGTTGACGGGCTTAGCTGATGCGTGGGCAAGTCCAGCCCTGCCCCGAACCTCAGCGCCTCAGAAAGTCAAGTAGCACTATGTGCAGCCCACACAGATGGGTCAGCTAAGTGCCTATATCTATGTCCCACGATGACCTGACCACACCACAGTGCAGAGCTCAGGTTGGGGGGCTTGGGGGTACTCAACACTGGAGGCAAGAAAGGAATGCAATTCCTCATTAACGGGCCGATGGAAACGCGCGCTGCCAAGTCCCTATCCGCAGTCAGCTTCTCCAATAACACCACTATTGTGATAGGATTCTGTTTTTGCTAATCTAACAAAAAAAACCGTAATGCTAAGAAACTGAAAACAAAAATAATTCCGAGAGAATACACTCTAAGAAATCGATGATGAAACGTCTCCCAAATATGTATCATCACAATCTAGCTCATACTGAACAGACCTTGTAAAACGGCTTCATACTGCACAAGCGGAACTTCACACTGGATCCCCGATGTCCTAGCTAATTATATCTTGATCTAAAACCAAAGCTGGTTCAATACAGAGCAGGAAGAGGTAACCCCCCTGCCACCAATCCTTGTCAAAGAGCTTTATGATGCTTTAGAAAGTCTTTGGTGCCTAAAGCAGACCGAGATCAGGCTTACTGGGCACACAGACTGGTGGAGTCCAGAGACCATGGTCCCTGCTCACCCTGTAGGTCTTGAACTCCCTCCTGCAGCTCAATTTTCAACCAAGCAATAGATAGGCACGTAGTAGGGACAGCAAAGCTAGTGAGGTGCATGTTCAACCATCAGAGATCAAAAGGGCAGCATCTGCCCAGGGACAAATTTCATGAATGCGGGAAGAAAGGGAATGGAGACAGGCAGGAAGTGGCATCATTGATGTTACCTGGAAGGACTGCCATCATTCTGATGAAACTAAGTGTCTGATTTGTGGAAAGTAAAACTGATGATCTGCTCTGTAAACCTTCATGCAATTCACAATACAAAGTTTTCTTTTTTAAAGTGTATGATAGCATTATTAATGAACTTGACTGACAATTAAAACTTCAGAAGTTATGGCTCAAGAAATAATGCTGGAGACTTTCATAAATTTACAGTGCAGACAGTCAAAACTGATTGTTTTCATTGGAGAAGGCTGCTCCAGCCATCGGCTGCCCTAGTCACAGTAAGATATGCATGTTACCTGTTGTCTACCACCACCCACCACCCCACCTCCGCCACTGCCCAAACCAACAAAATCAAACCATGAACAAGTTTTCATTCATCTATTCCCTTAGGTCTACCACATTTACTACTCAGGTATCATAATCAACAAACAATTAATGCAGCTTTATAGATGACCCTGACATTTCTCCTATCAGTTTCTTCTATACTCCTGCTCCGAGTTCACCAGGATGACTAAAGGCGATGGTGAGAAATGCCAAGGCAGCCTGTTTCAGGTTATGTCTGAGTTAGCACAGGCTTAAAGTCCCTGAGGGGCACAAAGAGTTAACATGCTCAGCTGCTAATTGAAAGTTTGGAGGTTCAGGTCCAACCAGAGGCACCTCGTAAGAAAGGCCCAGCAATTTACTTCTGAAAAAAGAAGCCATTGAGAACTCTAGAAAGCCCAAGTTCTACGGTGGCACACATGGGGTCCCCACGAGTCAGTGTCGACACCGTAGCATATGTTGGTTTTAGCATACAATCAGGCTTTCTGGCACAGTGGGCCTTGGTTCAAATTCTGGGGATGATGCTAACGGCCACGTGGGCCTTTTGAAAGTTATTAGACATCTCTGCACGGCACGTCTGTAAACTAAGGATACTAATCTTAGACTTCACATTTACTAGGATCAAGTCCAATACTGTATGGCTGGTGGCGCAGTGGCTAAGCGCTCAACCGCTAAATGAAAGTCAGTAGTTCAAACTCTGTAGAAGAGTGATTGTCAGTCTTGTAAACTCTACGGGGCAGTTCTGCTCTGTCCTACTGGACATCATCCAGTTACCGCGTCAGAATCAACTTGATGGTAGTGATTCTGGTTGTTGGTTTAACCCAGCAAGTTCACTGGAAAACTAGCAGAGACGGCTAGGTGGTAAAATGCATGAGGGCTGGGCAGGAGGAATCCCAGCAGGTATAAAGCTGTGGACAGACACACACGCTCTCAGCACACACCTCTGTGGTGACAAGGGAGAGACACCTCTAGCCCAGCATTCCTGGACAAGTCACTGTGTAACTGATAATGAGAAGACGACCAATTTAGACCTGGCCAGGTCTTCCTTCTGAAATATCTCAGGAAATTTAATTGGAGAGATTAAAAAAGTCAAGTCAAGCAAAATACTGAAAACTATAAGGCTGTGCAAACTGCTAAGAGACCAGCCAACATATGAAACGGTACGTGTTACAAGTACTTGAACAGAAATGAGTAGATGAATGAAGGAAGGAATGCAAAGCATGAGCAGAAGAAGATTTCGCTGAAGAGAGACTGACAATGGTCAGACTTCAGTGACCCCGTCTCTGAATGTCAAGCTCCCTGACCGGAGCGCGCGGAGGAGCTGGTTTCCCAAAATAAACGAGTGCATACCCCTGTTGGATCTACATATCACAGAAGAGAGTCTTTAGCTTTAGCAGATCAAGAGTATTAAAAAGCACGTTATAAAACAGGTTAACATTTTTTTGTTGTTGTTAAAGCTTTTATTGTAAACTGAGTGATAGTTTACATGGGAAAACATTGGCTGTACACCATTATTTCATTGCAATGATTAAAATCTCCTCCGTGCATCATCTTTCACCAGTATTTGCTTCCATTCCCTCTGTTTTTGTCTTTTTGGGGGCAGGATGTACATACAAACACTCAGGCATATATAATAATTTAAATGGCCAAAGGGCACATTCTGCAAGCCTGGTTCCTGCCCGCCAACACCCAGTCCCCCTCTTTCCACGAGTCCAGAGTCCTCAGTTGCTCACTCTCTCTATGCCCTCTCATCTCTACCTCCATCTCTAGTGTCGCTGCTTCTCTGGATAGGGTCCCACATTCCACTCATGCTTTTCTCCCTTGATGGTCCTAAGGTCCTCTGTTTCTGGACGGTAAGATTAACTACTCCCTGTTTTTGTTGCAAAACTTCTACCTTTACAGTTGGGACAGTCGCAATTATTCATAACAATTACTCACTATAGAATCATGAGAATCTTATCCCCATCTTCTTTCACCAGACCCATCTAGACAAGATTAAATCTATTCAGTGGGGACTCGACTTCCCCCTGCATACTCTTAAACTAAATTCCCTCTTGAAAACTTGTAAGCCAGTCACTTTGTGCCTTTATTGTCCCCTCATTTTAGGTAGCCAATGCCTAAATTGCCTGTCCCTAACTACCCTGTATACAGAGGGGATAGGATTAATACTTGATGTGACAACTCCTTCCCTCTCAGTTGGTATTTTGAGCTACTACATCCATAAATATAGGCCAAGTTCATCAAACTGTAGCCATCTACACTCATTTCCTTTATCAAAAATTTGTTTTGTTTTGTTTTTTCATCTTCCTCTAATCGAGTTCTGATTTATCAAGCCATTGAAGCTAGGTCAGATGGGTACTATCTGCAAGTTTCAGCAATCTTGTGTGACTCCCCTCACTTCTTATCAGCTGGATGCTTCATTCTCAGCTCTAGCCCTCCATGGCTAAGTCCTTGACCATGGGCTCAGGAGTCCCTAGGTCTCACCACACTTCGGACCAACCAGCCCTTCCTCTTCTCTCTCTCATCTCCAGGTCGACGGGAGTCTATGGAACGTGGCTGAACTCAGCCTATATCTTCATTGCTGCCTTTCCTCTTCTTCTACCTACCAGGAGAACCAATGTGGTCATGCAGCAAGTTTACATGCCTGCTCATGTGTTCCCTCCCTTTTGAGCTGCAGTCTTGGATGGGGGTTTGTCCGGAAGGGATTTGACTGCTTGCCTTCAAGACTCCCGAGTGAACAACTTGCTTGTTCTTGTAGTAACCAATCATACTGCCATTTTTGTTTTGGATTTTTCCTGATGATCTTTCTTTGAAGATGTTTCTTCTGTTGCTCTAGCTGTTACAGGCTGGTCTGCTTGTCCTTGCTAGTGGGAATGTCCCACCTCATAAGATTCTGGATGGGACTCAGGATTCCACCTAAGGTCCTATACACTGCAAAGGCTCCACAAGAGGCAAGTTCTAGAACCCTTTTTAGGTATTCCAGTCAGTTACAGGCTGAAGATGGGCTTACAAGCTTTCTGTAACCATGTTTCCTGACATTCCTTCCTATCCCACTCAACAGTCTATTTTACAATAGAAGGCAAGGAAACCAATATTCATAAGACAGTCAAGCATCTTAGTAATATTTCCCTTCTTCAGACTCTGCCTTGATCCCTGTATCACAGAGCCCTGTTGTTCCAAGGTTGACTATACATCCTATTTACCTCTGTCCCATTTAGTCCCTGCAAACCTAAAACAGGTTAACTTTCATGAGGAATTTAATTTGGAAAAACAAGAAAAGATATTTATTTGTGCTATGTGCTATACTGTCTTCCAAACTGTGGGCAAATTATTTCTCCACACATGGAAGAAACTTAGTTGGCTGCATTTTAAAAATCAAAGTAGAAGAATAAACAAATCCCTATAGTAATTCAACAGTTAAATAT